TATGTATTTGGTGAAAGTCTTCTGCATTTGCTCACATTGTATACCCAAAGAGTTTCCTACAGTGGCTCGTAGGTACTTATATTTGTTGCAAATTAATTACCTCTACTAATAAAATATTGCTGCATTTATTTTATGCTAAATCATTGTTGCTTGTAGGAGTGTTGCAGCATTATTTATTTGTTATTGGTTGCCACTAATAGGTATATTATTTTGCATATGGAATATCTTGCATCACTGCCAGCAGATACTTGCATTCATTGTATGATGCACCGTGTGTGTTTGCAAGGAGCTTTGTTGTTTGCAAATGAGTTGGAGTATATATCTGCATACTGGTGCTGACTACCAGGTGAGTTTCATCCATCGCATAATTTATCTATGCATATTGACTGGCATGTTACTATATTCCTTTTGCATGCTACCTTTATGTTCATAGGAGACTTCCGCATGCATCTATAATGCAAAATGACATTGATTGAAGGGGAACTATTGCATTCACACCTTATCCACTACTGTTGGTTACAAGTGCATTAGTGCCTTCACCTGCCAACTGGTTGGTTGTTGATCATAGGGAAACTACAACACTCACTGTATGTTGATTATTATTTCTCACAAGCTGGGGTTACTGCATTTGCTTTCATGACTGATGTGAATATTACACATCAAATGTCATCATTAGTATGCAATTTATTTAATGGGAACTTTAAATTTGCTTGCAATTAGATAATTAATTCTCCTCAATTTCATTGCTTTCAGGCTCGCAATCACAAGCCCCCACTACCTTTGATAGTAGTTTGTAGTTTGCATGATGATTTTGTTCATTGATGCTAGTACTACAATCAGCATGATAATTCTTCAATACCCATTGTGAGTTTTGTGTCATTACTTTTGTGTATATTACCACATTTTTTTTTAAATTTTGATCCTTGCGAGTAATCGAGTTGTGCTTAGAGTAAGTTCTTTATCTATTACGGGTTCTTGCATGTTCCTTTGAATGTTCATCACAAGTTCTTTTAGTGTTCATGTTTTTTCCATTTGATGTTTGGTTCTACAGGTATGCGGGAATTCTGCAGGATTTGTGTGGTATTTTTATTTTTTTTCATGTGGAGGTCAATACAACTAAATAATTCATCTACTTTACTCAAACATCAGAGTGAATAATTGCTAAAGGTAAAATAGCACGATGAGTGTTATTAGAAAAAAATAATTTGTGACCTTTTGAGGTCGTACAATCAGAACAAAATGGAAAACTATATGGTATATGAAGACTTTTGTTTGCGGCAGATATAGCCAGAGTAATGCGGGAATGGGGATGTCCCAATTTTTGATGCCAGAGAGAAGCATTGTGGGATGTGGCCGTTAATGCTGTTGCTGACGAAGTGTTCCTTCCTGCCTATCGAACCAGATAGAGTCCTTGTTTACTTGGACCCGTTAGAAGCATTTTGTTTGTCTTCATATCCTTGATAGCAAATCCATTAGAATTAAAGCATACAGAAACATTGTTATCTTGAGTCAGATTAGAAATATATAACAGGTTATGAGATAAATTTGGAACATGAAAAAGAGGTTGGAGTTTTAGCTTACGATACGGTGTTGGCAGAATGCCATTACCGGAGTGAGCGATTGTTAACGATCTGCCGTCACCGATAGTAATGTTGTCATTACCATTGTAGGAGGTGGCTTGGGAGAGATTATCCACAGAGTTGGTGAGATGAGCCGAAGCCCCGGAGTCTAAGTACCAAACATGATTGTCGGTATCCGTGGCTGCAACCATGGTTATGTAACTGAGATGCTGGCCTTGCACGTCCACGCTTTCTAGGACCTCTATATGAGTAGAGAGCCGTAGCCGAGTCACCAAGATTCAGGTGATGAATCGATTCAGACTGAAGATTGATTTCTTCAGTAATCAAAAGGGAGTATAGCGAATCAAGATCCATTGGACTCTGCATTGTGCGAATCACCGTCTTCACAACATTGTACGTCGGTGGTAGTCCGTTTAACGTGTATAAAAGAATGTCTTCTTGATCAAGAACGGACCCAGCAGGCGTGATGTTATCTACAATGGTTTTGATTTACTGTAGATACTGAGTCATAGTCTGGGATTTCATTTGCACGTTGTGTAACTCATTTTTGAGCTGTATAACACGCGATCTATTTGACGATTGAAGTCGGCGTTCCAGTGTGGACCAAATAGCGGAGGTGGAGGTAAGATGAATGACATAAGAGAAGATCGCCGGAGATACCGTGGAGCACAAAGCAGCGGCTAGGTTTTGGTCTACAAGAACCCATTCTTGATATTTCGGATTGGGTTCTTTGCTACCATCGGTACAGATTTTATGACTAGCTGGAGGGGAAGCCATTGGAAGAAGAAAGGAAGCAAATCCATTTGCATTGAAGAGCTTGAGAACATGAGAACGCCAAATCGGGTAGTTTTCGGAGGAGAGTTGGAGCGGAACAATAACTTTGATGTTCGAGATAACAAATTTGAGAACGGCAGGAATGTTGCCGACTTCATCTGGAAATGATTCTTGTGCTTCTTCCGTTTGGGATGAGACGTCCATGATCGGGAAAAAAAGAGAAGAAGTTGGAATCAAGAAGTTGAAGAAGAAGAGAGGAAGACCTCGGAGAAAGAGGAGACACACTGCTCTGATACCATAAAAGCAGAACAAAAATGAAAAGAAATATTATTCATATCACGGTCAGGATACAGACTCATGCTTATATAGACTATAGCCGAACCTATACATTATACTAATAAGAGACTTCTAGAGGACAGGTAAACAGATATAGGTGTTTTAAACAGTTACATATTATTAGTTTCCGGTTCTACATCAACCCTTCGGCGCCCATCTCTTTGCATTGGGATCATTGGTGTAACGGGGTTACTCTTGCTGCTATCCTGGATGGTTCTTGCTTATTACATGCTAATGCTCCTAATTTACTTGTTAAGGATTTTGTTGCTGGGGATAAATAGAATTTTCCTGCCTCTGTGTCTTTGCCTGCTGCCAATGCTATTGCGTGTATTCATATTTATAATAGTTCGGCTCCTTGTTTACTGTGGAATAATATGGTTGTTGGGCACTTTGGTTTATACGTGAAGGAGTATCATAAAGACCTGCCTCTCTGCTCTTGGTCTGACCTGGTTTGGCATAAACAGTGTGTTGAGGTTTTCAATTTTCACTTGGTTATCTGTTGTGGGTTAGGGGTGTCAATTCGGGTCAATGGGTTGGGTTCTGGTCGAACTTGAAACTAACCTGGTATTATTTGACATGAACCGAACCCGATCCGGTTTTATAAATAGGTCCGTTTTTTCAACCCGGACCCAACCCGCTGGGTTTCTGGGTTGACCCGATCCGACACAAATTTAAAGGATATGGCTGAAGAAGCGGCGCTACTTCCAGTTCCGACAAGGTGGCGAGCTATCCCGGCGAATCGGAGGCACTTAGGCCGGCGAAGGAACGTTGTTGAAGGAGACCATTAGGCCGGCTACAGCCTCGAAGGAGGCGAAAAAACGCAGCAGCAGCGGCGGACAGGCGGTACGGCAGCAACGAGACTACAGTGTCAGCGGCTGTGGCCGAGCGGCGATATGCTTAATGCAAAGAGGGCGAGCCGGCGACGGCCTCTCCTTCAAGACAAAGAGACGCGAGTCACGTCACGCGACTGACGTGCTCAGAGCGCTGCGACTCGACTCTACGCGTCGGGGTTAGGTCTTTTCGTGGGCAGGGCAGGCAGGCTGGGGCAGCAGAACCGGGTAGAAATAATTTTGGGTCAATTTCTCTAGCAAGAAATATTACAGGAATTCCTTCAGGCGTCACGATGCTTCAACGCATAGGCACAAGATTGTTGATTTCTATATTTGTGATGGTTTTGTCAGCTCTGGTAGAGATGAAAAGGGTAGAAACTGTAAGAGTATTTGGCTTAGTAGATGAGCTAAACTCTGTACAACCTATGAGCAGAGGCAGAGCCAGAATTTTTATCAGATAAGATTAAAAATTGAAAATTAAAATAGTGAAAGGATGCCTAATCTAAGGGTTATAAGAGAAGATTGTTTCTTATAAATTGTGAATTTAGGCTAACATTTTGTTATCGATCGTTCAATATTTAAATATAATAATAGACTTTAAAATCATTGAATTTATTTTGATTTTATATAGTTGATATATCTACAAAAAATTTGCATCATCGACATAAATCTCGAGCGGAAATTTGAACTGAAAATTTTTAGAATTATTTGAACTCTAGTTTTTGTAAAATTATAGCTGAACCGAATGTCTACATAAAAATAAACTCGATGATGCCCCCCTTAAAATAAAAAGGGCTTCGATCTTAAGGCGTTGTTTGGATACATGATTTATAGAACATTGGAACCGTTAAATCTCACAACGAGTTAAATCCCCCGTTTCACTCTTTTTGCCGTAAAATGCCGGATCTACTAAATCTCGGGAGTTCGGTGGAAAGATGGCTACCTTCGCAATGAGCAAGCTTCTTCTTCGTTATTACTTCCGATCGAATAGACGAACAGCGATGTGTGATTTTGGATCCAACAGGAAGGAACGTCGTTGAAGGAGGCGAATAAGTTATTTAGCTACTCGTTCAAAACTCTACCCATCCTGCCACACGAAGAAGGCAAAGTGAAAGAGCAACGAACAAGGGTGACAGAATATGGAAATAAAATATTAAGAGAATTAGTAAAAAGAGTTTCATTGAGAAAAAGTAAAAAACTTAATTAGAGCATAAGATTAAATTAATTTAAGTTAATTACTTAATTAAAATTATATTATAATTAATTTATAAATAATTACTTAAAATGATTGATAATTAATCCAAATTTTAATTCTACTATTTATACTGTTAAAAGACTTAGTATGTTAATTTGATATACCTACGAAGATATAGAAAGGTTTTCATTGTGTTGGTAAGGTTTTAAACCAAGCTTAGATCCATAAAATAATCATCTTAATTTTAATTACAAGCGATCTCCATCTGCCAAATCAACGAAACTTCAACCATCTTGTTAGGACATTCACAACTTGAATCGCCAAAAAGAAAGGTGAGAATCAAATCAATCCATTTAAATCATCAAATAGATGAAAAACAAGAAATAGAACCGCAGGATCTCAAACAATCAAGCTTACTCATGCCTAGCCCGCTCCGTACAACGGAGACTTACTGCTCGATCAATTGCTTTTGCTTTAGCTGGAAGATTGTTGAAGAAACAAAATATATTTTGAGAGCCACAGTCCTCAACGATCGTGGTGTGAATCCACGGGCACCGGAGCGTTCCTTCCTTGGAGAGCCAAAACTCAAAATGAAAGCCGCAAAAAAGACGGGTGAATTTTGAATCATTGTTATTTTATATCATTTGATTGATTTCTCTTCTTCCAGTGAATCCATGGTTTAGTTCTGTTAGTTCAACAGTTTTTCTCATCAGAAAGGTTGTTCAAGCGCTTAGCCTAAACCTTCGCTTGTTATTTCGTTATATTGAGAGAGAAGGATGAAAGAGAGAGACAAGGAAGGGTCCCTGCCCTTAGTTGGAGATGTAGCAGGCGATTAGGGTTTTTTGCTCTTGGGTTTCCTCCCGCTCTTCTCACGCTTTGGTTAGGGTTTCATCCCGCTAGGGTTCCCTAGCGCCCGTGTGGCTCGGGTTAGGCAAGCAGGAAGCTTCTCTTCTTCCTTCTATTTTCTGGTCTATACTTCTTTTTCTTTTGATTCATTCACCTCCATCCTTTTGCCCGGAATGGTGGTGAATCGTTTGTTCCACCGTGGCTTTTTGGACGGTTCTGCCAAATCTTAGTCTTTCATTGAGGCTCTCTGAGATATGTCTAATGGTGTGAATTTTTCAGTACTGAAACCTTCTACTTGGTGGAGGTGGTGCGTTGTTGGGGAGGGGGCTATAAATAATTCGGTTAATTTAGGTATTAATGCTAGTATTCCTATTTTTTATCCAAATGCGGTTGTGTGTAATGAAACTAACTCTGATGTGGTTATTGACCAATTTGATTATGTTGGCTTTGGAATTATTGGGGGGCTGTGGTGTTGTGGACATTGCTTCAGTGATTTTTGTTCCTATTGTTAATGTTGAGGGGGTTGTGCCTTTGGCTAGTGAGGATGTGGAGGCTAATAATGGTATTTGTAATCTTAAAGCCAACCTTATTCTCTCACCTAATTTAGTTGATGAGGATGATGATACTTAAACTGGTGACTATCAACCTTCTTCTCCCATTGGTGTTGTGCCTAATGGGTCTAGGAAAATCGTGGATTCTACTGTTGAGGGCATGGCTAATGTGGCTTTGGTTAGTGAGGGCATGGAGACTAATAACTGTAATATTAACCTTATAGCTACCCTTTTCTCTCGCCTAAGTTAGTTGATGAGGTTGCTATTGGTGAGTTTGGAGGCTGTCATCCTTCTGACACTATGGTTGAGGCTTCTTCTGACTCTCCTATAACGTTGTTGGAATCAGTTATTAACGTCCCTGTTTTTCTCATTTCTAATGAGGCTTTGAAAGTCAAATTGGCGGGTAATTTGGAGTGGAATTGCTTGGTGCAAAACGATTGGCTTAATGGTTATATGCTTCTTCACCTTTCGGGGGTGATGAAGATGAATTGAATGGGCATGATGATGCTTTTTAGGAGGGGTACAAGTTGGATGTTAACCGTATTAATGAAAAAACTTTCGCTTCTGGTCGTGGAAATGGTCGTAGAAGGAAGCATAAAATGAAATAGTTTGTTTTTCTTTGCTGCTTTGGATGTTGTTTTCTGCTTTTTGTATTGGTGGAGGTGGTGCCTGGTGGCTGTGGGGTTGTTGATTGTCTTGTTTTTCTGTTAGGGTGGTGTTTCTGGTTCTTTGTCATTTGGTGTTTGTTGTTTGGTTGTTGGGTTGCTTCTTTGTGGTGTTGTCTTCCTCTTATGTCTTTCTTCTTTTTACGGTGCTTTGTGGTTGTTGCGGACGTACGTCTTCTTTATCCTTATCTTTGTTGTGGTTTGTTGTATCATTTGCAGGCTCTTTCAGGTTGAACGTCGCTGCATTGAAGATATTCGTTTGGGATGTTTTTTTTGTTGGGAGGTTGCTATTTTTCGACTCTTGATGCCGTTTGCTCTTATTCTGTGGCCTTTTGCCTTGTTGGCTTCGTTTTGGTTTTTTGTTTTCTTTTATGTGTCTTTAATTGTAATAGATCGAATCAAAGGCTCGTAAGTTTTGCTTTAAATGATGTATTTTTAGAGGGCTATTGATTCACTAAGGACTTGTAATCTCATTTTCAAATTAACGCGTAAGCCCCTTTGGTGAGTTTTATCCCAAAAAAAAAGGGTTTTTGCTCTTGGGGGCATGGGCTCGACACGAATAACCTCAAGTGGATGTATCTCAGAGTTTTTGGTAGAAAGTCTGAGCCAAAATTAATTTACTTTTAGCTTTAGTTAGCTGTAAACTGTAATTAAATATATATTACTTCTAAAAAATTTTAATTGCATATACTTAAATTTCAAAGATGATTAATTTAGTCTTTCATAATAAAATTGCTAAAGCTGAAAACAATTTAGATGTTCGTTCGGGTATTAATAAGCATTTAAAAAATATTACTCAAATAACATTGCATTACTGAAACTTGGTTTCTCAACATCATTTCTAAAACTCTATTGTGCATAAGCAACAATACAATTAAACGAGACCTTAGAGTTTGGACGAAAAGCTTAGTCGGATTCCACATGTAATATCTCTCAATTTCGAGGTCCCCAACAACGCACTAAATTTGTTCATAATAAAGTTTTATACTAATATTTTATATAATTTAGAAATATTAGTATAAAACTTTATTATGAACAAATTTAGTGCGTTATTGGGACCCTCGAAACAGGTATGAAGTGAGTGCTTCCTTGAGGGACTCCTTCCGTCTTCCTTTGGCTATTTCTAACCTCTCCCCTTCCTCTTCTCTTTGTTGGAGGGTTGGTCAGTGGTAGTTTGGAGATAGTGATTTCAACCTCCTTTACTTTCTTTGGCTCCCAACTTTTGGAGGCAATTATTAGGGCTTCGTTGGGGGGTGAGAAGTCGAGAAGGGTGAGATTTGAGGTGTTAAAAAATGGGTTTTCGGATTGAATTCAGATCCAACTCAAAAATAACATGTAATCACATAGGAAACTTATTAGTTCCGGACACCGGATGTAGAGATACGTCCGGACATCCACTAAAAATTTGACACATGGAATGTACACGTGTCCGCTGAATTTTAAGTCAAACGCGTCAAAAGTGCAGTCAAAACGCACAGTCAAAGCTCAGTCCACGTGCCAAATTTTTATTGGATATCCGGACCTAGAAATAGGTCCGGTGTCCGAACCTAATAATTTTCCCATCACATGACCCAACCCTAATCTTACATGATTTAGAAAACAGGATGGGAATCCAAACCCGAACCCAATTTTAAAAAAGGGTCAGAATTTGGAACCTAAATCTGACTCTTCTGGAAAATGGATTGATCCGAACCCAAAATTGTTCAAGTAGGATCCGCGCCCCCTACTGGTGAGATGACGGCGACAAGGGGCTAAGTCTCGAGGAGATCAAGAACGAGACCGTTGGTCTGGTACGCAGCTTTGATTGTTTGAGATCAGGCAATTCTATTTCTTGTTTTTCATCTATTTGATGATTTACATGGATTGATTTGATTCTTACCTTTCTTTTGGTGATTCAAGTTGTGAATGTCTGAACGATATGATCGGAGATTCATTCAAGTTCCTAGTAAATGATGATATGCATGTTCATAATAATTATTATTTTTCTATAACAATTACTGCTATTAAGTTTATTTTTTTATTAATAATTTTGTTATTTGTTGTTCTATTGTGGGATATAAATATGTTAGGAATGACTAATTCCCTACATATTTTGAATGAACATATAGTATTTAAATTTTGCATGTATTTTAATTTCAGCTTTATATGATTCGGATTGGAAAATAATGAGATTTCTATTTTTCTCCTCAGTTTTTATGCTTGAAACAATTGAGAGTATATAAATATTGCATCATTAAATAGAATTTCCTGAGGTAAGTGGTAAAAATATCTGTCTCTCTCTCTATATATAATGGTAGTAGGGGTGTCAATATTGGACCCAACCTGAAAACCTGACCCGAACTCGACCCAAAAATTTTGGGTTTGGGTGAACTCGAGCCCGAACCGTTTGAAAACTGGGTCAGGTTCGGGTTGACCCGAAAACCCGTGATTCACCCGGAATGACCCAACAAAAAACGAATTCCCATGCTTGATTTCACCCTCCCACGTCAGACTCCCGCACCTACCCGGCGTGTTCGATTTGGCTGCTCGGCGTGCCCGCTTCGCCTGCCAGTGTCTGCATCCCTCGAGGCATCGAGTCGAGTCGCGTCCTTCATAGCGTGTCAGCGTAAGTCGGAGTTGGTCAGTCCGCGTCACATTGAGCCGAGCAGTTAAACCATCGAGCCGCTAACTCGCTATCAGTGCCCATTGTGCCTGCCGCCGCCTGCCGGGTCAGGTCAAGTTCGGCTCCTAAAAATGCCCCGTTTGCAAAAAGCGGGTCGGGCTCGAGCCCAAAAAAATGACCCATTTGCAAAAATGGGTCGGGTTTGGGTTGACCCGAATATTGTTGGGTTAGTTCCGGGTTTCACACGAACTCACCCCGTGACCCGAAATTGACACCCCTAAATGCTTGCTTGTCAAAGAAGAAAGTTCTGATTATATAAAGATATATGGTTACTTAGAAAAAGAATATATAAAGAAATTGAGGGAAGTTTGATGATGGAGATCAATTTTCTGACGCCGGCTCTGTTGCTCTGTTCTATTGTCAATAAAATTATATCCTTATATTAACCACATAGAATTGGATAGTTTAGCTTTTATGTTGTCATGAAGACTATGGCCGTTTAAGTAGGCTATAAGTTATTTATAAATAAAAGGTTGCTGTCTTGTAAAAAGGGAGAGCTAATAAGATCTGAATTTTACTCAGCATTTGTTTCTATTTTTATATCTTGATTAATTTATGGTGGTGGATGATATCATTCCAAGAAACAGTTCTTGGAGTTGTGTTCGGCTTCGATCACCCAGACGTCAAAGACTGTACGTCGAGCCCGGACCCTCTAGTCCGATGTTATTATGATAGGGGAAGTCTCACCAAAGAGTCAGGATCTCTAAGCTCAAAGATTCGCTTTCCTATATAGTAAAGAAAAAAAAAATCACTAAAAAAAGGCTAGAAAGAGATGCTTGAAAGACAGAAACGTAGTCTTCTTTCTGTACTCATCCAATTAAGGAATGCCTAGGGCTGCAAACGAACCGAGCCGAGTCAAGTATGCGAGCGTTTATGTTTGTGTTCATTTAATATCAACTTGTTCAAGTTCGTGAACATATTTAACGAAATTTTTTTAACTATCAAACAAACATGTTTATGAACATATCTATGAACAAACACATTTATAATAAAAGCAATAGTCTATGTAACAAAGGCAATTATTATTTATATTTATTAGTTCTATAGTCAAATATTAATTATTTTTATCGAGCTTATTCACAAGTTCAAAATCGAACACGAACCAAGCTTAATGTCGAGCTTGTTCACGAACTTCAAATGATGTTGTTCGCGAACATAAATGAGCCGAACGCATTAGTGTTCAGGTTTGTTTATTTAAAAATTGAGTATTTAAAATATTGTTCAAGTTTGTTTGTTTAGTTAATTAAACGAT